AGATGGGGCAGAGCCGGGATTCTAACTTCAGAACATATACAAAATGTAACTGACACTGCTTTCCACAGGTCTTTAATAAATATTTGTTGAATGAATACAGTGAGTAGTCTTGATTCCCTAGCCTTTATGTTAAGAACCTAGGGGAAAAGTAGCTCAAAAATAAATCACAGGGTGACAAAAAAATAAAATCAAAATGCATGAGTCTCCTCCACTATATTGTAAGTTTCTGGAAGACATAGGCTTTACTGTTCTCATTTTAAAATCTTTTACAGCATCTAGCACAGTGCTTGGTATGTTATAAGGACTCAAACATGGCTGTTCAATTGAATCATGACAGACAGCAGAAACTGGGTGTTCCCCAACTTTTTCAGATGGTGGAGAGAGAGTTTGAAATCATTGTCTTTCTTGCAGAATACCATGAAACAGTGACAAATTAATTTTCAAATGGGTAAATATATAATTTTGTGCTAAAAACAAATACCATCTTGTAGTAGGCTCTTCTAAAAAGTGAAAGCAGCTGCTAAAGTTGGGAGAAATGACAAACGAAGACAAGCATACCTATGAACCCTTCCCTCCGTGAATTGGCCCACAGCTACCAGGCCCCTAAACTGGACTTTAGAACAGCTGGGCCCAGTTCACAAAAGTGTTCCACAGGCTCACAATTTGAAACCAGTAGATGAGGTAGTTGGAGTAGAAGGGACCAATTAATGAATGGACAAGTTTCTGTTTTAATATTTGCTAGTTAGTGGCTGCCTCCTCAGAGCAAGCCACCAGGATTCTGTGCAGGCATTTTTGTATTAGCTTCATTCCTATCGCTGTCTTATTCCCTTCTCTACGTTTTTCTTTTCCTTTCACCTTCTTTTAATTTATGCTACCTTGCTATGTTTTATGTATCTGATGTAAGCCACCTCGAATCCTTTCTGGAATAATGTGGAGGTATAAATAAAAACATACAACATAAATATAAACTGTAACAAGCTCTGTAAAACCTATTTCTAAAATACCAACAGTGGTTGTTTATCATGGAGAGAAATAGGATGATTAGAGGTGTGTTGGGGAAGGGGGGGGGTGCAGTGTGCATCCAAAGGGGACAGATCTATGTAATTTTACAAAGCCCAGGATGTGGCATTATAAATAACTTTAATAAACAACATGGAGATAAAAATTAGTTTTATTTTATTACCGCTATAGATATTTATACAGCTTTTTTCAGGGTACAAGTTGAGGTAATACAAATAAACAGAAAGAAGAAAATTAAAGCCGCTCAAAGCCCACTGCTCAGAGACCACCATCACTAACATGCAGTTTCAGAACCTTTGGATCTTCTTCATGTAAGATTCAGAGGGGGGACCCCAGCTTAGAATCTGATGGGGGGGTGATGGGGGTGAGGAGGAGGAGGAAGAAAAAAAGAGGAAGAAGGAGAGGAGAAGGGGAAGTAAGCAATGGTGGGGGTGGAATTTTTGTATGTGGCCACCTGAGGATAGAAGGGAAATTGGGAGGACATGACGGTGTCTACGGTCTGATCTACATAGGGCGTGAATACCAGGAAGGGAGATTCATGGGGTCCATCTTGGAGCCTCCAACTCCCTCAGGTCAGTGGCTGTCTGATCATCCCTGGTCTGACTCAGGAATAAAGCCTGACTCTCAGAGGGAGCAATGCTGTGAATGTAAGAGGTGAATGCAGGGTATAAGCAGAACCACTTGGGGTCCAGGTGACAGTGCCACTCAGCACTGAGGAGAGATGCCTGTATCCCATATCTCTGCAAGACACAGTCTAGCTCTAATGCTGTGAGGACCCAAGCAGGACGCCATGGCACCCCCAAGGTCCTTTCAGCTTCTGAAGTGCCCGATTGCAATATCTGGGTCAGGGCGGCAGGGGTGGGGGCAAGGTTCCCCTTCAGGTGACTTGGGGGCAGTAGTTGCCAAGGAAGAGGCCAGAGCAGAGGATCTCTTGAGCAGACCAGCCAGCTATAGGTATACATGGTCATATGCACACCCAGAAAGCACTCAGTCGTTTTTTAGAGCTGGGGCTTACACTGGTGCAGGTGGAAGCTCTGAGTCAGAGAATGTTAATGTCATTGTGACATCACTATATGCTCCAGATGTCAGGCTTGGAAAAATTTTGGTCTTTTAAATATATACATGGACATGTCTAGATTTTTTTTTAGCAAAAATTTGAGATTTCACTTGGAGTAGAGAATTTTCTGAAACTTCTAAAGAGGTTGACATAGACCAGTCTTTCTTAGAGTGTATTTCTCATACACTGCTTCCATGGGATATTACTAGGCATTACATGAAAAATGGCTTCTGTGGTCAAATGGACTTGGAAAACATTGAGTGAAACAAAATTAAACAGGTTTCCCCCTATAAGACTGCTTGGAGCTTTTAATATACTGATGTGCACTCTGATCCTCTATGAGAAAGTGTAAATTTAGTCGATGCTCCTGCAGCTGATTTTGGGTGTGGGACCATTCTCTGTCTTCATTGATATCTGCCGGGAATGGTTCAGGGAGTCTAATGGGTATTAATCAAATGCTCAATTTATCAATAGGTCACAGTAACTACTAAGGATGGAAATGTCACTCTTTGGTACATAACCTGCTTTGAATTTGTATATCTATTGCTGCATAACAAATTACCTAGAAACATAGAAGGTTAAAATACCAAAGCATTTATTATCTCACTGTTTCTATGGATTGGGAAGTTAGATGGATGATTCTGGCTCCTCATGTCTCATGAGGTTGCAGTCAAGGCATAAGATGGGGTTGCAGTCATTTGAAAGCTTGCCTGGGATTGGAGGCTCCAGTCCCAAGATAGATGCAGTGAATCTCGCTTCCCAATGTTAATGAATAGGTTTGTTCTGTCCAACCTATAGCATCTTGCAGAAATGATGGACATTGACCTCTGAGACTAGGCCACAAAACACTTGTGGCTTCTACTCAGATCTCTCCTTAGATCATCTGCTCTAGGGGAAGCCAGCCACCATATTATGAGAACACTCAGGCAGCCAGATAGAGAGAGCTGCATGGCCAGGAATTGTGGTTTCTGGCAAAGAGGCAGCATATAACCTAATCCAATGATATTATCACACACCCCCAAACCCCTGAAATAATTTCAACGTGCAGGCATGTTAATGAGCTACATTGGAAGTGATTGACACCTTGGCTACAATCAAAAAGGACCTTGATCCAGAATTATCCTGCTAAGCAGCTTCCAAATTCCCAATCCACAGAAACTGTATGAGATAATAAATGTTCATTGTTATTTTAAGCCGCTATGTCTTGGAGTAACTTGTTACAGAGCAATAACAAATTACTAATACACATCCTTAGTGCTAAGCTGCTTCAGCTCACTGACCAAGGAGCCTGTTGACTTCCCAAGCTCAAAGTGGTCTTGACCATTGTCTTTTCACTGACCCCCAATTAGTTGTTGCATAAATAGTTCTCTCCAGTCCTTACTATGAAAGCATCTCTGGATGGTCTGACTCATGAAGATCATTGGTGTGGGGCACTGATGAAGGGGGCCCCTCAGAATTAGGGGTTTATGAGAATTACTAGAGGTGCATGGGTAGGGTCCCTAGGCTTGACTGGCGATCAGGGCCAATCTGAGGGGCAACCGGTGGGGTGATCAGGGGGCCCCTGCTAGCACCCACCTTGGCTGCCCTGGCACTGCCTGCTCACCGCACTCCCCCGCCTCCCCCTGCTGACACCTGCCTTGGCTAGCCTGGGGCCTGCGGGCTGGGGGCAGCTCCTGTGTTTAGCATCTGCCCCCTGGTGGTCAGCGCACATCATAGCGACCAGTTGTTCTGTTTGGTCGATTTGCATATTAGGCTTTTATTATATAGGATTACATTCTTATGAATGAGCCATTGTGAGCCAGTTTTCATGACTTTTCTAGCCCTACACATTTGATCACAGAATCCTTTCATTGTGCAATGGACACAGTTGGTCCCTACCCACATGCTTTTTTT